TGCGCCACGTTTATCTCTCTTTTTTGTGTTTGTTAGACTTCCTGTAAATCTGTGAACTCAAAGATCAGGTCGCTCAATTTGTACTAAATTCGAAAACCTGAAGGTTCTGTTTTGTCTTAATAGTAACTTTACGAATGAATCGAATAACTACAATGTCGTCATTGTAATTTTTGGCTTTATCTTTGATATAAAGTTTGGACTTCAATATATTCGTATATATGCCCATGGAAGTGGCGGGTTTAGTTGTGCTCGAAAGCGCGCTTGTTTACACAAGGTGAAATATGCGGTTCTGCATGAAATGCTCAAATACCGTTGAGCCGCCGCCTGCTTAAATGGTCCCCCTAGCCTACTAGAACATAGAGGGCGATGTGCTTACGCCGAGTAAATACGGTGTTAGAAATTGAATGTTTATGATCATTGGCGTAATTAAATAGATAGTATATGGTTGCTTCCCAGGTACATTGGCGTTGTTTTGTTTATTCAATGAGCTAATTACAACGTTTTTTGCTCTAGCCGTTTTACGTAAGTGATTTTCTAAATGTTCTGATTCAACCCTATAAGCTAATCGATGGTACAAATCCTAAGAGTTTTTAGCCTCGTTACTTACGATGTTGTTAAACAGTAATTTGAGGCCGGACTAGGAGTGTAGGTGCGCATTAAATATTAAAGTTTCTTATGTACAGCGAAGTCAAACAATTTAACATTCTGAAAGCCGTTGTTCTCAGTTAGTAGATCCAAGAATTTGGTCTTTGTCATTTTCTTCGTGGTCAAGGCAGCTGTTCTGGTCTTGACATGGTCTGTAACGAAAGTTTTAGACATTTACGAGCAGTCAAAGAATATATCCACTTTAAACACTGCAAAGATATCTTCCCCAAATTTTTTTAGATAGACAAATGGCTCCTACGAAAGATGGCATTTTTGAATAATGAATGTTTACACGTGATCAATCTTCCGTTTTTAGGTGATTGGAGGTCCCATATTTCTGATTTTAAATTAAACCTTCAGAACAAAAGTTTTCTAATTATATCAGTTGTGATAGTTTGACAACGCTATAGTCTTCTTGCTTTACCGATCGAGGTATCGCAATTGTTGCGGACAACAAAAGGAATGAACCACCAGCTGACTGTC